CCTACTTTCCACAACTTAATTACCAGGATGCTGAGAATTTGAAATGAGAGGAGTCCATTTCTAAGCCCCAGCAAGACCTAATGCTTCCCTAGGCTGTTTAATCTTCATGCCATGACCTCAGGGCACTTTGTAACTCATCAGCTGAGTTTTGCTGGAAGACAGGGAGGTGCCTGGGACAGGGAAACCATCAAGGATTCAAGGGGCTCACACATGGATTTCAGCCATTCCTTGGTGAATTCACACTGCAGCAACATTTCTCTGCAGCAAGGGGAACACTGAAGAGATATAAATAACCAAAAAGCTGTTTATCAGCACTCTGAGATTCATTTTCATGATGGCAGTGTCACTATGGTGAACTGGGATGTAATTAGCAAAAACCACAATATATCAAAATGAAAATGTGTTTTTCTTTCAGTGGCTAAAAGTTACTGAAAAAAGAGCTGGGAAAAAATCATAGCATTCCCATTGCTAGCAAAAAGGCATGGGGGCAAATGAGATGTTTCATAAAGATATAAATGAGGTGGGTGATAAATCTCTACCTGAGTCTCAAATACCAACTATTTCATGCCTTTAGTTTACTTTTCCCCTCATTTCCTCTCCTCCTCCTCTTTAATTATTTTGTATTTACCCCATTAATTACTACTAATAAATTTATTTAAAGGATTTGCCTGCAACAAAGATTTGTGTTGTATGTGAACAGGATTAAAAATGCCTTTTGCAGGAAGCATGTCCAATCCAGGGGAACCCCACTCCTGAAGCCACCAAAGTGCAGGGCTGAGCAATCCCGAGGTGAGCAGAGCAGAACCTGCTTTTACACCTGCAATTATAAAATATTTTGATTAGAGGGATAATTCTCATCATTGCCAGTTATTAAACTTGAATAAAGGGCTGTGGGAAAAATGTTATACTGAATTTTACTGAAATTATGGATTAAGTAACAGGTTTGTATTTTCTAAGGATATATATACACAAACATTGTGGATGATTTCCTTCTTTTCAGGCATTTTGCAGGAGCCAGCTCTGCTCTGGGAGCTTTTCCCTGTTCTTTGCTGACCTCTTGTGGTTTCTCACTCTGAGGAGAAATTATTTTCTCAACCTCAACTTTACTTAGGATAAAGAAAAAAAGGGAATCTGAAAGGACAAGACAACAGTTTAATATATCATGGAGCTCCTCAACAGACCTTTTTTGTGGGTTTTGTAACAACATTCCCTATTCAGTTATTTTCCTTAAACCTTTTTTGTCCTGCTGGATAGAAGTTAGAGCTGTGTGAAGTACCTGAACACACAATTTCTAAAATATTCCCAATGTGCCAGGCACAAGGTGGAGGGAATCATATTCCCTAGAAAATTAAGATAGTGAAGTCAAAGGACTATGAAAGACATTTGGAAAGGGATGGATCTATCCCCAGACAGGAATTCCAGGGGATATTGCCCTGGACAACAATGTCTGTGTGTGTGAGCTGTGAAATTCAGAGAGGGAAGAGTTTCCAGTTCCCCATTTGGCACTGTCAACATGTTTAATCTGTTTAATAATCCTGCAGCCACCTGAGTCCACTTTGTTTCCTGCCTTTATTGCCAAACACTCTCTCCCTTGCAACAGAGCAGTGCCTAACGAGATGAAATGTAATTAAAGAGGCTGCCTAGGAATAATATTCAAGAATTCTTGCAGAAGTATCCTGTGGTGGTGGTAATAAAAATCCCCAAAAGCAAATAGGATGCTGCAACAGCAAACCCCTAAGTGTCAAAAGAAGAACTGCTTTTCTACATGCTCCTCCATTCTTTAATTATGCAAATTACCGCTAGTTTTCAATAATAAAAAAACCTAGAGTGTGGAATTTGCTTTTAAGCATAAACCTTATTTCAATAAGGGAAAAAGAAAATTAAAATTCTGTTCTAAAAGAATTTTTAAGGACTTCAGTTCTCCCTGATCTTAGAGCAAATCCCTGCAATCAAATCCCACCAGCCATTCAAAGCTGCAGAGCAGGACTGATTTTAAAACCTTGGGATTCTGCATCCAAATCTTAATGTGCTCTGAAATTATTTAACTCTCTCACACACACAGATGAAGGTGTTTTCTGCATGATGTTGAGAAATAATCTGTTTAAACACACACTTTGCAGTGGGACAAAAGCAGGATAGGTGTGTGGCCCTTCCCAGTGTCTGATTATTCCATACACAAATATTCACAGTATCTCCCATTTGCTGTGATATTATAAATTGATTTATTTATATTTACTCATTCCTAGCTCAGAATTGTTGTGTTACCCTCAGGAACGCTGCCATTCCTCCTCCACTTGCTCCTGCTGCTTCCTTCCAGTTCCAGCCCTGCAAACCTGGGACGGAACCTCCCCAGCAGCCCCACACCAAGGGACTCCCACAGGTCCCTCACAGAGATGCTCCTGGACCATGATCTCCTGGCACAGGGATCTCCTGGACCAGGATCTCCTGGCACAGGGATCTCCTGGACCAGGATCTCCTGGACCAGGATCTTCTGGACCATGATCTCCTGGCACAGGGATCTCCTGGACCAGGATCTCCTGGACCATGACCTCCTGGCACAGGGATCTCCTGGACCAGGATCTCCTGGACCAGGATCTTCTGGACCATGATCTCCTGGCACAGGGATCTCCTGGACCATGACCTCCTGGCACAGGGATCTCCTGGACCATGATCTCCTGGGCCATGATCTCCTGAACCAGGATCTCAGGGCACAGGGATCTCCTGGACCATAATCTCCTGGGCCATGATGTCCTGGACCAGGATCTCCTGGACCATGACCTCCTGGCACAAGGATCTCCTGGATCAGGATCTCCTGGCACAGGGATCTCCTGGGCCATGATCTCTTACACCATGATCTCCTGGATGAAGATCTCCAGGACCAGGATCCCCCCAGGGATGCTCCTGGGCCAAGCTCAGGGCTCAGCTCACTGCAGCAGCAGGGCAGGGGATTTGTGCTGATTTACTCAGAAAAGACAGAAAATAAACAAGAAAGCGTCTTCCCATGAAAAACCCTGAATTGCAGAGTGTCCCCATAGAAACAGAATGCCAGCTTGCCCTGATGGAATTCATGTTTATAATCCACCAGGAATAAACAGGAATTTTGCCTACAAAGCAGCAGCTGTGGGAAACCCTTCAATCCTTTTTTTGGGTGCACTCCTATGGGGGAAACATGAATTAACCAAGGACTTTTGTCAGCTTCCATCAGTGCTCTTCAAGGCCTGGATTTTCCAATGAGGTGACAAAACCTCCTATTTCTGCCAGATGCATTTTATCAGGGTGACTTTTGCTCTGGTTTAAAAATGCATTTAAGCAGAGAAACTTCCAACTTCCCAGCATCAAACAGGTTTCACCAACGAAACCACCAGGTGATTTTATTTTCAAAATTAAGAGTTTTAAAGGATTGAGGAAGGGCAGTTCTCTTCTGCTCAGGCTTTTCTGAGATAAAAAATCAAGGTTAAGGAAAGTGGTTAGTTTAACTTTTCTGGTTCAGTGTTAGAACATTTGTAAAATCATGCATTAATAATATAAACAACTCTTTAAAAATAACATGTTTTTTGTATTAAGCTTTTAAGTCTTGAGTGATAATGTAAAGTGCTCCAGGTCAGCTTCAGTTGTAAAAATACTACTTGAAGATGATAATGGCTTCAATAATCTTAGATTCTTAGAACACAGTTTACAACACAGGAGCTTCAAATTTTAATCAAAATTGTAACTTCACCAATGTATGAAATAGAAAGTGTGGTTTGTGCCAGTGGCCTTTGCCCTAATAAAGCAAGATAATTTGTTAGAGATACATGCAAATAGAAACAAAACACATTTAAATTCTCAATGCTGAGATGCAACTTTATGGCAGTAACTCAGTGATGTGAGAATAGTGAAAGGAGCAAAATGAGAAATAAAGAGGTGAGTTGGTATTTCAGGTATCAGAGAATCTGTGCACATGGGCAATATCTCCTACAATATAACAGTAACATCCAGCAATAGATGTACTATGTTAAATCATAAAACATGCATGCTCTAAATTTATCTTTTTAAATATACAGTGACCATGAGCATTATTTCATCTGTGAAAGTTACTTCAAGTTCCATGAATGTCTTTCAAATTAAAGATGCACCTTTTTCCATTTTCCATGAGAAGGTGGCACTCATTTAACGAATTCCTCCAAAAAAAAAAAAAGCACAATGCATCTGCTCAGGTTTGATAATTCTTTTTTTTTTTGTAGTAAATTCTAATTTGGGGATCACTTTATGACAAATTAGGGAAAAAATTGTGAATACTTCATACTGAATTGTTTTAAAATAAATTAAAAAATATATACTTCATAATATTTCATGAATATGAAATATCATTATTATGAAGCTCAGGTTTGATCACTCTTTTTTTGTAGTAAATTCTAATTTGGAGATCACTTTATGACAAATTATGGAACAAATTGTGAATACTTCATACTGAAATTTTAAAAAATAAAATTTAAAAAATTATACATCATAATATCTCATGTATATGAAATATCATTATTATGAAATATTATTATGAAGCTCAGGTTTGATCACTCTTTTTTTTGTAGTAAAATTCTAATCTGGGGATCACTTTATGACAAATTATGGAACAAATTGTGAATACTTCATACTGCTTTTTAAAAAGAAATTTAAAAATTATACGTAATAATATTTCATGAATATGAAATATTATTATGAAGTATTATATCGTATTATATTAAACAGCTATAGTATTATACATTTCATATATATATACATTATATATATTTATGAAATATTATGAAGTATAATTTCAATTATTTATTGATATATACTTCAACTATTTATTGATAATTTAAATCATACTTCAATTTTTAATTTTTTAAATACAAATTAGAAAAGCTCCAAGTGGAAAAAAAAAACAAGTGCATCCTTAAAAACTGGTGAGAATGGAATTAAACTGAATAAATTTCTGATGTTGGTAAAGGAAGTTGTGTGTGGAACACCAAGGAGAAAACTACCTTGAAGAAGTGGATATTTACATGACAGTCCTGCAAGAGACAGGAGAGGGAGAAACACTGCGTGGTTAGTTAGTAAGAGGCTGGCACAGCACAGCACCCACAATTAGCAGCAGAAATAAACAAATACAGACACAGCAGCAGCAGCAATACAGAAACGGACACGTCTGTTACGCACAGAAAACCCAGGAGAAATCAAAGGGTGTTAACCACAGGCAGGGCTGTGCTGCTCCTCAGCTCACACACACACAGCCCATGCATGGAACAGCCTCTGGCAAAGCCTCCAGCTGTGCACAGCTGGCCAGGGGCACTGGGGCTCCCAGCCCTGAACAGGGGTGACAGCACACAGGGATTTGGGATATTTGTCCTCGCCTTGTTTTGCAACACACATTTCACCTTTATATAAGGGATGAGGAAATCCCTGCCATCAACGTGATATTTTATATTCCTCACCTCAAATCACATCCCAGTGAGAAAAGCCTTAAGGAATCAGCAAACTGAAAGCAGAGATTTGTGCCATCTAGTTAAGGAATTTCAAGTTCTCCAGTCTGAGCTGTGGTGAGTGGATGGGAAACCTCCAGACAACTGCATATGGGAATTCCCCCTGCCAAACTATAGTACAGAACAGATGGAGTCATCTAACAGCATCTCTATAATGCTGCAAACTATTCTCTAATGATTAAATATGCGCAATTTAAAAATAGGAATGAGTGCCATGGCCAAAAAAAGCAGCTCTTCTTTTTATATCTCTTTATGCATAATGAGTGTGGATTGATGTGCCAGTGATATTTTGGCTGGTCATGATTTCAGTGTGGCTCAGTTTCTGTTTCCTGAAAAGTAAATTTCATCTTGTCATTTGCAATTTGAAGTGTCAGCAATGTTATTGCTCTTTCCATGTCCCCTTTGCTGACCTGCCTGAAGCTTCAAAGTGGGAATGAATATTGGTTAGAGACAGATATGGAAGAGACCATATCTTTTATTTATTAAAAAAAAAAAGGAAAGCAACTGCAGTGTAACAGCTCTGGGGCAGAGATGTAAAGGAATGTTTCCTTCCCAGCCCTTATAATACTTTACAGAGACCTGGAGAACTTAAGTCACAAACTGACAAAATCACAAACTCATCTAGAGTTCATCTTGGGGGTTTTGTGGTTCTGTGTCTGTTTGTTTGTTTGGAGTGGATTTTCTGAATGAAAACAGATTAAATTAGAAAACTCCTGGGCTCTTAAGAAGCCACTGAAGTCCCTGGAGTATCTGCCATGGCCCTGGATATGCAACTGCAACATTTCCCCCAGCCTCCAGCTCAGATAAAGACAGCTCTAGGATATCCTGGTCATTATTAAAGGAAAGAAATAAAATGTCCTTTTAACCTAAAGTTTTTGTGGATATCAGAAAAATGCCAGAATAAGAAAGTTCTGGCCTTCTCCTTTCTAATGAAGCAGACAGAAATGGATTTTAAAAATTAAGAGGAGTGGTAAAGAGCTAAGAAATGCAGGGTCTGCACTGGAACAATCTGAACTGATGTACTGATGGTCAGAGAAGAAATTATAAATAAAAGAAAGGTTTTTCAGACTGTAACAGCAACAAAACTCATCATTGTGCCTTGTTCTCTGGGGACAGTTTCTGTCCTGTTTAACACCAGCTGTGCTCCCACAAGGAGAGGCCTGATGCTGTAAATCCATGAGCTGTGTGCACAGATACACAGCCTGAGGCTTCTGGCCTGGAAATTTGGGCCTGCACAAGGATTAACACACAAGTTTGGTCTAACAAAGGGCTGCCCTGCACCCTGGAGGAGCTCAGGAGCAGAAATATCTCTGAGATCCTGCATCACTGGAGAGGCTCCAGGTATTTATCACTGAGCCTGATGGCCAAGCTCCCCATCTGTCCTGTTATCCTTCAAATGAGAAGGTATTTCAGAAGACATTTTCTTTAGGATCACAATCATGAGAAGGCATTTTAGAAGATATTTTCTTTGGGATCATAATGATAGCTCTGCTTGGAAGCACTGAGAGGTCACCAAAATGTCACCATCACTGACCACTTGCAGTGCTCAGACACGAGATCCACCCTGCTCTCAGCTCTGCCCCCTCTCCTCCTTTCTGGGCTGCAAAAGGGAACTGCATCAGCAATTCCATGGTCAAAGCAGCTGGAATCTCTCACGCAAACAGGACACAAAGCCAGGGATGTGGATGTGGGTGTCTCTCCCCTCCCAGGGTGCAGGGACAGTCCCTGTGGTGGGACAGCAGTCAGAGCTCTCAGAAATTAAGGGAAGGATTTTGTTTCTGTCAAAGCCACCCAGAGCGCTACACCGAAGGAAATAATTAGAACGAAAGAACATATCTGACATGTGAGGAGTGTGCACCAGGAGGAGCATTGTGTGTCCTCCCAGAGATGCTCTAAAATGAGGATTTTATGAGCAGAATCCCATGCCCTCACAGCAATGTGCTGGGATCGCTGCAATTGCCAGAGCTGGGTGTGGTGACTGAGCCTGCTCCCATCACCAACACACCCCGTGCTCAGTAAATGTGTCCATGGGTAAGGATTATGGCTGCTCTGTTCTTTGTTTAATTTAAAAAATCCTTTCTATGGGCCATAACAGCTGCTTTATTTTTAATAACATTTCCCAGTGCTGGTGATGTGGAAAGAAGGGGAGAGATCATAAAACAATTCACCAGCCTATTTTTAAATCAGTATTACTCTTTTGTTACTCTAAGGTGATATTTAAGTATCAAGAAGTGCTTTACTAAGCATGAAAAATAAAAAGGGCCTGACCAAACTCAAACAATTTCCCACAACAGAGGTTTTAGAATTTGCACATTTTCCCCCCCAAATTCAGGAAAAAAGGAATGATGCCCTAAATGGCAAAGGCACCTTACTGCTCAAATCACAACCAGGTTGGAAAAAATACCAGAAGGTTGCATTATTTCAATATTCTTCTTTTTTCTTTGACTAGAAAAGTACTGGAAGAAGGAAATAAGCACAAAACCAAGAGGAGATGCTGCAGTTTGAAGATTTCCTAGTTTGGGTCCATGGAGGCACCTGGGACTGCTGGGAGTTCCCATGGCAACTTCAGCACGGACAATTATGGAGCAGCCACAATTATTCTGAATATGCCTGGTGAGAAGGGAGTTTCATTTTGAGATGGCCACAAATAATGCCATTCCACAGAGAAAATTCACAACTAAAGGTTAGAAGCAACTGAAAAATAGTGACAGATTTTATCCTGCCTCCACTTCCTACAGGAGTGTATTTTTATCTCTACATATTAATAATGATGTATCATGTATAAATCACTGAGGACAGATTTGATCACACTGCTAAATGAGCAGATAATAGATTTGGGAGTTTTAGTGAGAGGTGAGATCCAGAAAATATGTAGATTGAATACAATTTGTTGTGTAGAAAATACTGCATTGCACCTCTGCATAATATCCCTCAATTTCCACATACAGGCTCATATAGATTATACATAGAATATAATATGAAAACTCCTTGCAATAAAATATGAAAGGTAAAAAAAGCACTATCTTCAATTCTTTTTTTTCCAAATTTGGTCCCATTTGTTGAGAGGATCCATTCTGGGCAAAGGTTGGGTGTTCATTTTTCAGCTGTTTCAGATGTGGAAGAAAGGGCCCTGAGGAAACTTCTCATGACAAATAGTTTTTAGCATTCAGTTACAAATATAAGTGAAGAGAAGGTTTGAATCTATTATTATTTACTTATTTACAATCTTTAGAGTATTTTATAATTATTATATTATTTATTAAGATATTATGTTATATCATATTATATTATATCTATATTTTGTATTATTTTATTGTATATTTACATTGAATAAATGACTTAGGAATTAGTGCTAGGAGGTTCAGTGAGCAAAGCAGAATTTCCATGAGATTTGTGTGGCTCAGAGCCCCAGAAGAAATCTGGGCTGTGCAGGTGATGTGCAAAGAAGGATGTGGTGGTACAGTGTACATGGTTTGAGATCACTGAGAGCTTGAGGCCAAATCTTAAAGCTGCCTGAAATATAGATGCAGGCAGATATTCTTAAAATTCTGATTTAAATGGGAAGCAGCTTCTAAGTGGTCTTGGAGGCCCTCCTAACCAAATTCTAAACTATACTTAAAAGGGCAAAGTCAATTTTCTGAACATCTTATCATTTTCAAGATCAGAAAGTACTTTCAGAAATTCTAAATTCATTTACTCTCTGGCCTTCTGTAAGCTGAAAATAATTTTATTCTTCCTTAATATGAAACAATGAAATCCTAATCCTAAAGTTTCTCTGCTCTTGTTTAGCTTAGGTTTGTACACAGCCCTTTACTCTGAAGGCCACCATTATTTATTTTAAGTATTAGATCTAAGTAATGCAATATTTTTGTGGAAATTGTTGTCATTTTGTACTCAAAGTTAAATCAGTGTATCTTGGCTACCAATCACATGGTCAGATATTAAAAAATAGACCAAGCACTGCAAGTGCAGCCTGGATTGGGAAGAACTCTGGAGTTACTCCTTCCACAAACTGATAAATGGGAAGTGGCACAGTGAGACCCCTTGGTCCATCTGTATTTTTAATCTCCTGACAAATTCACTCCCCCAGGAAAGTGACAGTCAAGACCTGCAATCTTCTTCCTGTAAGGCTCCAAAGCTGATTTTAGAACAGTGGAAATATTTATTTAGATGATGTCATTAAGTCACAAATAGCAGCATTTTTCTCAGTGCTGTCTACTTGTTCCTTATTACAGGACACCTAAAATAAGATGCCTGTGCAAGGCAGGATATAAATGATAACAGAAATAAAGCAAAAGATGATCAGAGTCAGCACCACTTCTGTGCCATACCAGAATAGCTAATAAGTGAAATACCACCATTCAGACATCTGTGCTGTGAATTCTCAGAATCCACCACAGTGATGCCCTTGGAACCAAGGATAATATTCCATGAGGGTTCTGCTTCCCTCTGCTCCTTTTCACCATGATGAACTTTGAGATAAGGAACGAGGGTGAAGCCAAACCCTCCAGCCATGTAACACCACATTACACCAGCCCTGGCCCCTGACAATTCCAGGGTTTGTTCAGCTACCAATAATCTCATTTATCATCACTTTTAGAACTGTTCATTGTCCAGCTTGGGAAATTACAATTATTGGAGACACTGTGTGCCTGCTGAAGACCCATTGCCTTCCCTGGATTAATTCAGCCACTCAAACAGCACCAAACAGACTGGCCCAGAACAGGGAGAGCCTCAAATACACAGTGCTGGGGCTGAACTAATTAGACTTTGAGACAGACTAATTATTTCTGAGGCAGAGCTGCCCCTTGGTGAGACTGCTGTCCCTGAGACCAGGTCCGGTAGTTTCACATCAATCCTCTCAGGATTTCTACTCCACCTCATTGCAGGACATGGATAAACCCTGACTGTTCCTCCTGTAACCAAAGTTATTTACAGCAGGATTAAAATCAACCTCAGAGACTAAATTCAATATGCAAACACAGTGCATGTAATATCTGATATTTTTAACTGGACAATTTTAGTGACTTGGCTCTGTGCTGTCTCTGACCTGAGAAAAACCAGATCAATTTTTATACCTATATCACCAATATATAAATATCCACCCAATTCCAGACTCTGCATAATGCACAGAAACATGGACAGAAATATTTTTGAAGCTATTCTTTCTAGGGAGGATAAAAACCAAAAATGATCTTGAATAGCAAATGACCTAGTGCAGCAAAATGAAATCACACTGGTCAGATCACGACTATAAAGAAAGGAAAATGGAATGGAGGCTCAAATACTTCTCAAATGTGTAACAAAAATCATAGTTCATGCTGCAGACATGGGAGCTGATCCAAATGGGTTCAGAAGAAATTGGAGCACCTTTTCTTTTTCCTTCTTGCAAGTTGAACATGTGTCGTTTTTCCTCACTTTCGTGGGTTAACCCATCTTTTATAATAACAATGGAGAATTCTGCCTGATGGTGAACATAGAAAATTGCCATTTCAGGTTGAAAGGAACAGGCGGGTTTGTTTATGCACAACAGGTACATTCATTATGTTTGGAAAAACAGCTTGGCTAAGGTTGGAAAGTGCAGCCTGGAATATTTCCAGCTCCTGGCTGTGTGAGCTGGGAGAGCAGGCAGGGAGAGGAGCAAACCCCTCCCACCCCAGGCCATACCTGTCCTGCTCCTGGGCTCAGTGGCCAGCAAATATTTTGTTGTAATTCTGGCTGTGGTTGTCAGAAGAGGCAGAGTCTGATCATTAACAAAAAAACTCCTTTGTGTGGCACACGGGACCATCCTTGTGGCTACCAACTCCTCCAGCTGGCACCACAGGAGGCAAGACACTGCAAAAAGCATCACTTTTCTCTGGATTTTCTTATTTGTACATACCCAGCAATACCTTAAAAAATTAACATCCTTCCCCACACTACAGAGAACAGAGTTTCACATAAAAACCTTCTGCAAAGACTTTAAAGCTCCCAAGTGTGAACATTGAAAGTATTTTCTTAAAACACCCCAAGTTACAGTGTGAAACATTCAAAATATTAAAGTACCATTGTTTCTGAGGATTTCATTTATCAAATAATGCAGATATCAGTGATAGTGGCTGGCAGATTTTGCAGCAATTGTTTAAAGACATTGAAATTATTACATATACTTGACATAATATATTTTAAAATACCAACTTCTAAGTGTCATAGCAGAGAAGCTGAACTGTCAGGAAAATGATGGCATGTCTGAATCAAACCATTTGGTCCAATCTTCAAGAAAACCACAGACACCCAGAGCTGTCACAGGGACAGAAATAGGAGCACTCTAACATACGTATCATTTAACAGATTTTTTTTTTTTGCAGTGAAGAATAAATGCAATATTTAGTTGCACACATCTGTGTTTAATCCTCACCTCGAACTTCTGTCGGAGCTCTGCATTTCCATCATCATCAGCATCTGGAATTGGAACATTGTAGTATTCACCCTCTTCTTGATTCAGCAGCTTGTACCTGTGACAGATTTCAGAAAAAAATGCTGACTTCATGTTTTTTTCCTGATAGATTTAAAAATCTGATTTTGTTGTTTGTGTGTGGTTTGTGTCAATGTCACAGGTGTGCAAAGAACTGATCTCAAAGACCTGAAGCAAACTCAGAAATAAAGGATATTTTACCTGAAATCAGATCTTTCATCACAAGCTATCTGTCAAGGCAGTTTAATGGACGAGGAGATTCTTCCCACTCATGCTGGGATTTGATGGGAGACACCAACCCTTTGTCTCCAGTGCTTCCATAGCCCTGCACAACTGCCTTTGAAGAAATGTCCTTTTTGAGATGTGATGAGTTCTACCCTCTCCTGGCAGGTAATGAGGTGGCATTTTATGAGATCAGTTTCCATGTGCTTTGAATTTGCAGAGCTATATATAACATGATACACCAAGTATTGAACACATCATATTGGAGATAAAAATAAAATTTGTATCACAAGACGGTGTTCACAGAATTGAGTTTGCAGCAGCTCCTGGCTCCAGCAGAAGTTTCAGGAACACCATAAAAGAAAAGGAATTGTTTTATTATCCCCCTTTGATATATATAGCCTGTGTTTCCTAGGTTTAGTTGCACTTCAGTGAATTTATAGCCTGAAACACAGCGAAAAGCTCAAATAAAAGACAGATCACATTGAAAAAAGAAAGGACAAGTTTAAAACTTTTGGTGATATATCCTCTCCTTCTCTTTTCAGAAACTCTTACCATCCACTGGCTGGCATTTTCATAAGCTCTGACACCCCAAAAGAGAGTGACCCCATGAAATCATTCCTGGTGGTTCGATCCCAGTCCCAGACCTCCACGGATAACCGGCGATCTTTGTCTGTAGGTTTTAATTTACTAAAAAAGGAGAGAAATGGAGGAGCTGTCAACACCAAAATAAACAATGAAATGCATCCAAAGACCCCCAGGAAATCAGGGTGTTGAACTCACAACGTGAATGACTCATTCCAGTCAGGATTCAGGGTAGAACGGATGGTTTTCGTTTTTTGTTTGCTTTCATTCTTAGGATCTGGGATGAGCTTCAGTTTGACATAAGGATCTGAAAGTCCATTTGGATCCATGGGAATGAGGTTTTTTGCTTCTCTCACTGTCAATATAAAACACAGGATTACACATCACTGTAAAAAAGAAATTACATGTCAGGCCAGAGCTATTGAGGCAGGTTGACAAATAAATAAGATGTGAAACCCACCTGTCAGACTTGGCATGGGAGAAACTACTTGTTTAAAGAAAGGTTGTACTGAGTGATATTTATAAGAATAGCAGGGAGCAATGACAGGAGAGAAGAGTGATTCACAAGCAACACACAGCTCCCAGGCAGCTCTCCCTGCAGTGCAATGATTAAATACCCAAATCCATCACTGTAATTTTTCTGAGCAGGTACCAACTCTTTGTGCTTTTGTTCCCTCATCACTCTCAGGTTATACAACCACAGATTAGGAGGCAAATACTGTAAGAGGCAGAGGCAGATCACAGGGGATTGCAGGGGACCAGGTGTTTGACACAAGCCTTTTTGGAAGGTTTCTAGCACCACCCTTCCCACAGATTCATGGCTCATTAGTTGTCAGATGGAATCCTCGGGAGCATTGTCATGACAGCAACCAAAGGAAAAGTGCAGGGAACACAAGTGCAGCTCCTGCTTCACAAAAATCCTAATGCAGCTTTTTATTTTGACAATGCCAAAGGCAGAAACAAGGTGAGTTAATTTATCTTGAGCTGTTCCATCCCCAGGGAGAGAGGGAACACTCAGGAACTGCAGCTGGGGAGTGCAGGGAGCCCCAAAGGGTGAGCACAGCCAGCACTGCCCTCCCTCTGGCAAACTGAGCAGCATTACACACCCTGGAATGTCAGGAGCCAGAACATCCCTCTGGCTGTCCTGAGCAGCCCAGAGCCCTGCCAGGGGGCTCAGAGACCCTGGCACAGAGCCCAGAATGCCCCTGTGGTTTTGATTATGACCTGTGGAGCAAGTTACCAACCCTAGATGAAGATCTGCAAGCCATGACAAATTAAGTAGAATGACAGTGAATTTATCACAAGGTGAAAAAGTAGATTTTGGGATTTTTTAGAATGGGAGTTCAGGGGGCAAGATGGAAGGATCTGGGCATGTCCAGGCTTTCTCCTTCTTCTTCTTCTTGGCCTCCATCTTCTGCTGTGATGTTGGCACTTACAGACTGGTTTAGAGTAGAAGCTCACCGCCTAACATAGTTGATAGGTATTGGGAATTAATTGTAAACATTGTACACGTAGTTTTTAGTATAAAGACATAACACTGCCCTGGGGGCAGGCAGAGTGCCTGGAACCGTCCTGCTGGATGGACCTCAGCAGGGCAGGAGAAAATTTTTTATAGATAATTTACAATAAACAACCTTGAGATCAAGAAATGAAGAGCTCTGACTCCTTCTTCAAGTGCCAGGCTGGGAAAAGAGACTTTCCAACTTTTCTCAGGGTCACTCTGACCAGCTAGAGATCCCAACACTGGAAGAAGAATTCTGAAGAATAAAAGGTGAATTTCCCTCATGCTGTGAAACCCAATCCCAGCTGATGAACTGGGACCAGGCTGGGATGGGGAATTTGGAGTTCACAGCTGAGCATCTCAAAACTTGGGGCTTGTTTGGGACAGAAAAGAGCTTCCACCCAGGAATTCCCTTGTGACAAGGCAGAGTTTTAGGTTAGAACTGGCTCTGAAGGAAGATTGCAAGAAGCTTTGGGGTGCCAGGGCTCCTAAGGGAGGAAAGAACTTGCTGAAGAGAATGTCCAGGGCTGGCACTGCCCTCAGCCACTGCTTTCACTCAGGAAGGCTTCCTAAAATTTACCTCCATAACTGAACAAATCTGAAGGGAAATTTAGGAAAGATAAACCATTAAGCAACTTAGTATTTTTTGATGAAAAGTGGATTTCCTACAGAAATCTGTAATTTAGAGCCACTTAAAAGTCAGTTAGAGCTAATTAAAAAAAAAAAAAGGTGTCAGGATCTTCAGCAACAAATATTTACTGTTTGCTCAAGACATTGTCCTCCTCTTCCCCCAGATTTAAATGGCATTTTCATATTACAACCCCAAAATTCTGCACCTTCCCAGGATTTCAATTTGTTCTTTCCCAGCATGGAGGTTAAAAGGCATCCAAACAACCGAGATATTTTATATTTTATATATTATATATATATTTTATATATATAATATATATATCTTATATATTTTACATATATAATTTCAGATATAAATGTTATATATTTTTATAAATATATACAAATTTTATAAATAAATTTATATTAATGTTATATATAAAATGTATATTTTAATCTATTATTTATATTTTATATATAGAATAAGAGGAGTACAGGAATGTGAGCTACTGCTTTGGAAGACTCTACTTTGTCAAGATAATTCTCATGCAGAACAGATACTCTGATGTAAATTAATTAATGAAATTAGATTGTGGCTGGAAATGAATCACATTAACTTGACCCAACAGTTGATACTGATTAAGTTTCTTAAATTTCTGGTTTTAAAAGGAGAGACAGAAAATGCTTATGGGCTAAAATTTTAGAATAAAGTGTAATTCTATTCACTATGTGCATTCCTCAAAGGATTATATCAGGAAAAAAACCACTGTGTGTTAAAAGAACAGAACAGAACCATGCAGTTTTCTTGCAGGCCATTTCATTTGTACTTTTCTACAATCCATGTGTAGAGCTGACAGGGTTTTGCAGCTGGGGAAATGATTCCTTTCAGGCCAGAGAAATTGTCCCCACTCTCATTGACTCTGAGTTTGCCCTCTGGAGGTTTTCACACCTGTGGTCAGCTGGAAAAATATTTATTTTCAACCCATTTAAAAAAACCAAAACACCCAGTTTTTAAAATTCAGTGCACTGAAAAGAATCTTCAAATACTTCCAAGGAATAACACTGAGATTAAAGAACTTATTTTAGCTCAGTATTTACAATCCCAAAGGGACTAAGAACCATGAAGCAAGTGAAGGATGAAGTGACAGCTTTCAGTGCAAGCTGCTTTCTCTCATCCTATATTTGGGTTTATTACTGCTTTTTTAGTGGGGTTTTTTTTTTTTCAGTGTTCTTCTGGTTTTTGTGACTGCACTGCCAGGTTTAGCACAGCAGATACTACTTCAAAATCCACTTTTTGATTTTTATTTCTAAAATAAAAAAATATGGCTGCACTTTGCCATAAGTGAGGAGCAGAACTCTCCACGTGTTCTAAAAATACATTAGTAACTTTTCTGCTAAAATTCTCTGAACAAAATTGCTTAATTTTACCATCTCCAGGATGAGCTTTTATGTTTAAATTTTCCCTGCAGAGGCCCAGCACGAAAGAGGCAGAATTGGGAGTGATGGGCTGGGTGGATGTGGAGGCTCTGCCAAGGACAGATCCCTGGTCAAAGCCACCCCTGCCCAGCCCTGAGAAAAGCTGAAAATCAAAATCAGCTCTGGCAGCATGTGTAAAACTGCTGCTTTCTCCTGCAGCAAACACAGAAAATAGAAAAAAAAAACCACCCCAAAAAACTCCAAATGCAAGAAAGAGAAGCTCAAAGATTAATTGGGAAGAAAAATGCAACACGTACTAAAAGCAGGCTGCTAACGAAGTCATTATCTCACTCCCTGGTTTAAGATTTCTGGCCCATTTGTACTTTTGTCTGCATAATTAATACCCTCAGACATCTTTTTCCAACTGACTTAGCACTTCTTTTCCTGAGGAAACAGAGTGATGATACTTGTGCTAAATAGTGCTTATCAAGAATTAGCATGAAGTGGTTCATCTCTTCAGTGTGCCCTATTTTTAACAGGACAGATCAGGTCTCTCTTGCAGAATTGACATGAGAAGAGATTCCCCTCCCCACCAAATGCAATATTTCTTGTGTGTGGTTGAGAAAGTTCAATGAAAAATAACTCTACCAAAATAAATCAATGTACAGCAGCTGAATTCTGCTCTAATTGTAACCATAGCAAGCAATCTCACCCTGCTTGGTAATTATTGGTTAATTAAACTCTACACTGTGACAGAGATGTTACTCTAAATTAGAGAAGGTTGAAGAGAGGTGCAGTTCAGCCTCACTTTGGGTAAAACCTGAAATACCGCATGTCAGTTTTCTGCCATAAATATTAGGGATAATAACAATCTCTGTACTGAGGAAAGCCAGCAGGAAAATTCATGAACATTTTGTTCAGCCTGGATTCTTAATGGGACTGAGAAAGCCCACAGATAAAAAGACAACAAAGAGAAGCATGGATTGATGGCTCCAACAAATCCAGTCGTGCTCAGGTTTTCTTCTAAAACCCAGAAAAAAATTGTCAACTTGCATTATGGACAAAAGGTGACATTTTCCTCCTCCTTGTTAATGGAGATCATAAACGGGTATTCAGTGGAAAATTCAGATTATTTGATGACTGTCCTACGGCTCTTCTATCAAGTACTGCTTATAAACCTGCAGTACCCATCCAGGAGCCATTGCTAAAATTGGGACACCCACATTTCCAGGAATAGTGTGAGGACATGAGCAAATACAGAGCTGCTTCTTAGGTATTCATCCTTTAAATAAAAACCTAAATAAAACAGAGTGGGCTGACAGAGAACAACCAACACTTCTTTAAAGAGAAGAACTTCAGGCAGGATTTTAAGGAATTCAGAGAGAGGATGACAAAGCTGAAATTTCTTCCATGAGATTGTGCAGTTGCAAGCCATGTGCAGTTGTGGATTTACAGCTTCTTGTGGTACCACCAGATAAATTTAATCATGGGGATGACTAAATAAATGTTTCTGTCCCTAGGACAAAGCTGAGTGATTGGAGCATGAGTCCACTCAGTTCCTTCACAAGTGAATCACAGCTCCCGTTTTCCTGAACTCCCAAATTAGGATAATTTGGGATAATGTGGATAATGAAACAGTTTACTAATCACAGCAAGCATTTCTTGCCAATCCTTTAGTCCTGCAGGCAGCTGAGATGAGCAGAAATCTCTCACTCTCGTGCCAAAAGCTGCTTTAGAAAATACTGCAAGAATCCAGTGGTCTCACCTGGTGTAGGATCCAGAAAAATGAAGGAAAAGTGGGATTGTTGTTAGCTCCAATACATCATAAA